TTGAGTTAGGTTCGTAAATGAGTCATATCCAGCAATACTGAACTCACATTCATCTGGGTCGATTCTCCTGTTCTTGTACAACAGTTCTACAACTCCTACAATATCTGGTTGGTGTACTCTTAGTAGTGTTTCAAACTCCTCCCTCTTATCAAGGAACGTGTCGGTAGTGTTTCAAACTCCTCCCTCTTATCAAGGAACGTGTCGGTATTAGTGTACATGACATTCAAGCCAGAATTTGTTCTCGGTAACGTCTCTGCTCTTAGTAATAAACCCGCTCCACCCACATTCTCAGAAGCTGCAGCATTTGCTAAGTACACTGTATTTTGCAGGGTGTGGTTAAAAATGTCATTGTTTACACGGCGCTCGTCCCCTCCTGTCCGGTAGGCTGAGCTGGTGCCGCCTCCCGGGTGGGGGGTTGAGTGGGTGGAGGGTGCACTGCTGCCCCCTGGCCCTGTGTCGGCACACTTGTTTCCACTACCCTCCCCCTGAGTATAACCCATGTGCACCTGTCCCCGTTCCTCCTCGACTCCTCCCTCTTCTGCTTCAAGTCCAGCAGATTACTCCAAATCGAAAAAAAATTTCGTAGTTAGCCTAACACAAAGGATAGCACAGTCTAAATAAATGTTACATTCATATCTAATAATGAAATCATACAGTAAATGTTACACTTTACCTTGAAAAAATATGAATATAACTTGATGGGGGATAAGGGTGATGTTGAGGCTGAGGAGTCATGAAACATCAAGCTTTTCTTCAAGTGTTATAGCCTTTCTTTTACGATCACCACCGGAAATGCGATCACCAGAGTGCTTCCCAGAGATATTCTTCTTTTCCATAGTCACAAAATTGGAGAAACAGTAATCAGAATTCACTGAGGACGCTTAAAAACTTCACGTGTTTCAAACAAAGTGTGGAGTAAACAGTGCGCGCGGGTCTAAAACGCTATGTATTTTGTTTTTCTCTCTTAGTTAAAACTTTACATTTTACATATACTGTACAGGTATACTGTATACATAAATATTACATAAATTATTTCTGCAATTCTTCACAAACAAAACACATAAATCAATTGAACATGTGATGTCGAACGTGAACTGTAAACACTGCATAACCCCGCAAGCCACAATGTACAGTACACTTTAAACGCTACTTATTTTGTTTTTCTCTCTTATTTAAAATTTTACAATTTACATATACTGTACAGGTATTTCTTCACAAACAAAACACATAAATCAATTGAACAAGTGATGTCGAACGTGAACTGTAAACATTGAGCCAAGCCACAACACTGTACAGTACACTTTAACACTTTAAACGCTACGTATTTAGTTTTTCTCTTTTATTTAAATTTTTACAATTTACATATATATATATATATATATATATATATATATATATATATATATATATATATATATATATATATATATATATATATATATATATATATATATATATATATATATATATATATATATGTAAATTGTAATTTACATATTCATATTATGCTAGAGCGCCCACGAAACATGAGAAACGTTTGAGTCCCCCAGTAGAGATGTCGTTCTCTACCCACTTCAGGATGTCTTAGTCCTCCGTTTTCTTTTTGTGTACTCGCTCAGGGACTCAAGTATTTCTGTATATGACACAGGATGATAAGGGAATTTGAATTTATTTGTTTATTTATTTATATATAATATACTGTAATATATTAAATATACTGCAAGTATTTTCTTTAATTTATATACGTGTTTCGCGAAAAAGGGAGGCTACATTTATGGTGATCGTTAAGGACCAAACTCCGAATCCATGACGTGACTTCTGTTCATTATTTATATCCTAAATTTACCACTGTAGGTAGTTTCAAGAATTAATGCAGTCATTTACTGAATATTCTTTGCAAAAAAATAAATTTTAAATGAATTATTTATAAGAGATAAGTATTATGATCAGTAAATATACAGATATGCATTACTGACCACCTCCGAACACAAGGACGGCTAAAAATAGCCACAGGCGGTCACAGTCAAGGTCACTTTCCCTTTCTTGTCACTGGCAAATGGGGGAGGGGGGGATGATAATAGCAGCTGTGTTTATTACGGTATGTTAGACTGGTTTATAATACATTTTTATTATTTTAATATACCGGTAATCTTCATTTTAATCCAGCTTACCAAACGTAAGTTTCAGTATAAAATAATTAGTGGTACTGTAGGACCTTGTGAGTGGTTTACTGTATACATAAATATTACATAAATTATTTCTGCAATTCTTCACAAACAAAACACATAAATCAATTGAATATGTGATGTCGAACGTGAACTGTAAACACTGTGTGTGATGTAGAGAGAGCGCGGGTGTAAAACGCTATGTAAATTGATTTTCTCTTTTATGTAAAATTTTACAATTTACTTATAATATATAGGTATACTGTATACACAAATATTACATACATTATTTCTGCAATTGTTCACAAACAAAACACATAACTCAATTGAACATGTGATGTCGAACGTGAACTGAAGCCACAACAACCGTTCAAGTGGAATCGCGTTAGAGCAAACGAGTTCGCGTTTTACAAATATCGTTCCTCAATTCATAAATCGCGTTCGAGCAAATTCGCGTTGTCAAAACACGCGTTATAGCAGAACTCACTGTACTCATCATACAAAAAGTGACTGCTATGCATCACAAGACCTTTTTGCAGACTATGTTCCGGTACAGAGTTACGTGACATGCACTGACAGCAATAATGATGATGAAAGTGAAGATGAAAATGATGAAAGTGAGTCTAATGGTAACAGAGTGACACTAATGTATCACAACAAGAACATACAGACTGTGAGGAGGTAGAAATGGACAGTGACGAGGCATGCATTGACCTTGATAGTGATGAAAGTGTGCCTGAACCAACGAATGCGAATGAAAGTGAGCCCATAACTCAATCTTATAATGAAACTAAACTGTTGCCGGCATCAAAAATCAATGATCTAGTTCATGAAGAATCTGTGTGGCGATTTTTAGAGAGGGCAGAAAAAGACTTTGATCAGTACATGATTGATTATGAAGAGGCCATTTAAGTTAAACGCACTCCTCAGGATTTACGTAACTTCAAGTTACTACGATATTCAGGGATAATAAAACGAAGGAACTAAACAAAGTAAGATTGTAATACTATTATCAGAATACTCTCTTAACCAAAGAATATGCAAACTTTCTAAGCCTTTGTATTCGTCTGTTAATTACGTTGGGGGGGGGTTCATGGTAGGGGGTGGGATGAGTGTAGTGGTGTTTCCTCATTATTACACACTATTAAACTTAACAATATTATAAATCTTTGGCTAATAATAGGGACGGAAAGATAAATACTAATAGGCAAATGAGTTTTTATTATTATTTTTGGGGGGGGGGGGTGGTAAAACGAGTGCTGTTTTTGGTTATCATTAACTTGTTTTACAGTATTAACCCACAAATATTAATAAAAAAAAATTGCAGAAAAATGCGATTATTGTTGGTTTGAAGATCAAACAACTCTACATCACGGGTTATTTTCATTCAACTCGCAATAAATTAATAACTATTCACTGTACTAATTTCCAGTTGTCACAGTTCGCTAGGAGAGGGATTAAGCTGCACGATAAAAAAAAAGAACCCTCTAGCTTAAAAAAAAAGTTATGGTTGTTTGAACCTTGAAAACTTTCAACGTGTTTTTCTCAGCTTTTTGAATTTGGAGCTTCACCCCCTTCTAATGCAGAGTGCGTCAACTGATGTAGTATTTCTCAAAAAGTTTCACTAATGATTAGAAATACAAAAAACAACACAGGGACAAAACTTTTCATATATCTTTAGGAGGGTGTGAGGATCACAGGGTGTGTTAGGAGCACAAAGTGACTTAAGGTCAACAGCTAGAGGATATTAAGGCAAAGTGAAGGTTTGGGGACAGTAGAGTCAGAGTGGAAGATTAGGTAAAACAACAGTGGAGACTTAGGTAGAGTCAGAGTGGAGGTTAAGGTGAGCACTCTTCATAACCAATGTCATCATTTGGTAGGTTATACTCACCAGCTTGACTCCTGAGGGCGGGTTCTTCATGGCCTTGACGACGCGTATGTCATCTTGTTTGAGGGTGTTGAGGGCGTCTGTGGCAGCATTGAGAGCTGGTACTGCCTTGGCGAGCTCCTTTTCACAGTCGTCTTTTATGGCCTGTGCATCGGCAAACTTCTTATTGGCCACCGCCTCGTCTGCCGCCACCAACTGAGAACAAATTTGTTATCAACAACCAAGAAATGAGATATGTTATCACTTTCATCTTTTTTTTTTACCAAGAGAGGCAGGGTTAACATTAGAAGGGAACATAAAACACGAACACAAAAACAGCAATAACTAGCAAGGTGTTCATGATAGTAACAAGAACCTTGCCAATGACAATATTTTACATCAAGATCACAAAACACTGACTGAATTGTGACTACAACATTGGTTTCATTGTGGTATCTTCAACAACCTTCCATGTTTCACTTATGTTTGTTCTTCTGGGTTTGGGGAATTATACTTGTGTTTGTATCTATGAACAAAATATATAAAAGAATGGGAAGGGTAGCTTCGATGAAACCTGGCAGGCTAAAAGGTTATTTACCTCAGAGAAAATAAATAAATTTGGGCAAGTAAAGCTAAAGAATAGACTGGTGAACTCTAGTGAAACAGTCTTTTTTTTTTTATCCTCTTCACCACTGATTGGCTCGTTAGGTGCTTGGGCGATCGGTCACGTCTCTGTTACTTTTCCTTTTCTTTTATCCTCTTCACCAAATGATCGTCAAGGGTTGAGTGTAGGCAAAGGAAAAGGTAATTGAAAGCTGGGGTAAATATATTCAAAGCCATGGTCACAGTCACATTCCACTGTATGTGTCTGTTGTCTACACAACTCTTTATTAGAGTTAATGAAACTTGGGACTATAGGTTGCTGTTGATTAAGAGAAATCTAGTCTAATTTTGGAGAAAGCAGGTCAAGGTCACACTTACAGTTCACAGTCAAAGACAATATATTTCACATCTGTTAAATTTGCTAGGTAGATTGAATGATCAATAACCACATAAATTTTTTATGTATTTTAGTGCATGAAATATAAAGGGCTCTTTGAACTTGATTTCTTATATATTTTCTCTTAATTTAAAGAAGTTAGTTGTCTAAACCAACCAATCTATCTAATTTCATTAAAAACAATTAACTCGCTTCGACATATTTTCTACACAACCAAACTCACACATGTAGTGTAGTTATGGCACCTGGTTGAGTATTATCTGTAGTACATTTCTGCACTTCAACATACACACTGTACCATCTATTACAGAGTTAGAGATACATCTTTTTGTTATAGAATTATTAATAGTATTAACAGGTAAGTTTGACAAGTGAAAGATAACAGCTTCACACCTCTTGTTTCCTCTCCACTTGGATGGTGTCTTGTTCGATCTTGATCATAAGTGCCTCCGTGTTGGCAGAGGTCTCCACTAGGCGGGGCTGCAGCAGCTTTAGCTCTTCTTGCAGTTCAGTGATCAACAGCTTGGCCTCTTTCAGTTTCTCCAGACCTGTCACATACCTTCAGAGATGAAATGGTTAATGTTTTTGGCACTAAGAATGCATATTCATACATTTAAAATAACTTGGGCACAATATTATTGATTTTCACAAGTAAAATAAAAACAAAATCGAAGTTGGGTCGGGGAATTCTCATCGACTAAAATTCATCAATAGATGTACAGTATAACATTACTAAAGCTGGTGATGAGCTTCCTGAGCTTTACCTGTCCCGTAGTGTGAGGATCTCTGAGCGCTTCTTAAGGAGGAGCTGCTTGAAGGTGAACACGAGCTCCAGGTAGGAGGTGGGTGTCACAATGTCACATAGTACCTCCGCCGCAGCTGCTCATAGAACCTGTAGGAGCACTCATCAAGGTCTCATGTATGTCTGGTTAATTAAGGTATTGGAGGGCTACCAACGTCTCATGTACAGTATGTCTTATGGTTTTAATGAGGTCTTGGAAGCCCACCAGGTTCTCATGGGTTAATTAATGTCTTGAACCCCTGGGCTTCAAGTCAAGTCATATGGTGTGCATCTTTAGAGCTTCAGGTCACCTCATATGAAATTTTGACATTTAGTGGGCCTATTTGAATATAAAATGCACTAAACTAACTCAGAATAATGGGATAAACTCTCCTGTCTCATGTGGTGACATGCGAACTTCACATGCTACCACCCACAATGCCTTAGTACCAATCGCGTCTCAAGATGCAGAGGTCACGTCGATCACACTTGCCCAATCCCAGCACCTCCATTCCCAGCTCCCAAGCATGCCAGATAAGTGGTCCTATGCCTGTGCAGTACTATTATTTTCTACATGATCATCATTGGCCAGTCAGAAGTTAAAACACAAACAATCAAACATGGATGTTTTATTGAAGAGAGTTTTCTGACTGTGGTAAACTGTATTTACATAATTAAAAACAAATTTCTAGTATAAAAAGACAGACATCAGTCTATAGATTGCTCAGGTTTGCCTACTTGAGAAACAACTGGATAAATGCTAAAATGAAATCCACACGAAGCAGTCTTTGACCCTTGGTAGTTAAACTGAAAATGATAACATAAGCAAGGTGTGGATGTCCTTGAAACTACCTGTGGGCAAGGTCATCAATGCTGTGGTGGAAATACTTGCAGACAGTGACACAGTGAGCCAACAATGATGCCTCCAGTTTAGTTTCCTGCAGCAGTGATGTGGCCACCATCTCCAAGGCATCATCAGGCCATGCAGTAAACCTGAACAAGAAAAGGTCATAATCTTGTGACTCTACAGAATTATACTGGCATTTGCCATTTAACAGAACTGCATTCTACAGAGTTTTGAAGTTATGGAACTCAAAAACAGAGGATATTAGTCACTAACGATCTACTGTCTTCCTAATAGAAAACGAGCTGTGGTTGCCATACTGACCAGAACGTATAAAAAATTGTCCCAAACACAATATCTGAGAGAGAAACAAAATAAAAGTCACTCGATTTCCTCACCGTGCTAAGATGTATAAATACCCTATATAAAATCCTCGTGGCACTTAGTATTTCAGCTATTACAACAAAAATTTTAGCGGTGCTTTCATTGTGCGTATTTACACCCGATTCGCCAGGCAAGACGACGACGGTAGCAATGCGTGTGATGGAGGGTGTGGGAGGGGGTTTTGAGAATTGCAATTAAATGCCAGGTAGCGACGTGTCCTCGAAACACATCGACCCCATGGTTAACAATACCTTTTTTTTGGAGGACTGTACATTTCATTCTGCAACCTGGCATTTGTTTGTGTTTTTTGTGTATGTTTTTTGTATATGTGTTTCCATTGTTTTCCTAAGCTTGGCCAGAGGACATTAAGTGCTAGAGGCAGCAGTGGCATTAAGAGAAACAGGAAGGCAATTAATCTGATGTGAAATTACATGACAAGCATTATGTTTCTTGCTGGTAACTGTACTACAGTATTATTTCTATTTATGATTTTATTTGAGAAGTAGGTATTTATTATACTATTTTAGTGCATATTTACTTGATACATATAGTAGTACTGTATTATATTTTGGGGGGTAAAAATTTTCCCTTTAAGAAGGCAAAATTTTCTTTGGAAACACATTGCCAATTATTATTACAGTATTGTTATTAATGAAATTATTATCATTATTATTATTAGCATTATTATGACAGTATTACTGTACATTATCATTATAATTCTTACTAATCTTATTGTTACTGTATTACTATTATTATAAAGCCCTGCATAAAAAGGATTAGCACTATAGATAATATCAATGAGCTCTCACATAGCACTGAAAGTAAAAACCTGTAAATTTTTTTTTATTAACTTTCTAAAATCCTATAAGAAGAAACCATTATTGTACCACAACAATATTATACACTACACTACCACAACATTACACACTACGCTACCAGGGACACCTGACAATACACAAGTGAGGGACACCTGGCAACACGACATCTTCTAACACATGAAGCAGTAGACCCACCAGGACCTACCAGTCTATAGTGCAGCAGTTAATGAGGGAGGGGAACATCCTGAGCCTGGTCCTGAAGGTGTCACCTATGGGGGACATGGCCACTACCAAGTGCAGGTTGGCCCTCACTCGCTCGTTGAAGTAGCCAAACAGTGTCATAGGTGAGGAGTCCATCTTCTTACCCTTATTGGGATATTAATCTGAGGTTACAATATGTATTATATTGGTTGAGGAGTGTGGTCCACATTATAAATATAAGATGACCCAATGAAACAATTATCAGATGAAAGTAGGATACTATTTCTTGTTGGGATATAAAAATTTTGTATCAATTGAAGATAACTGAAGATTAGTCTTCCCAGCATATTTTACTACAGTAGGTTAGGTTAAGTTAGTGTTAGTGTTTAAACATCAGATGAAATAAGCTGAGATGCTTAATCTTCCTGTGGTCCCAAAATTTTCAATGTTTAGCTGGACCTAACTCTAATAAACAAGATAAATACTGTATAGTGAAAATACTGTACAGTACCGTACATTTATAAACTTTATCTGAATTTCTAAGTTATGTACGTAGCGCTCAAGAACAATAAAGTGATTTATCTACATGAATGAGTAAATAGTGCATAACACTTATTCAAAAAGTATACATATCCTAAATATAATACAACACAGCAACATGTACAGTATATGGTCAACAAGTGCATTACAGGAAACAAGTAATAACACAACTAAATTACTATTATGAGCAGCCCACCATGGTATCAATTCCAGTTCTGTATTCCCAAAGCTTATATGGGAACATCCACCTCTACGTATATTTGTGATCTTACTTCACGAGTTTAGTGATAAGGCTCTAGCACTCAAGTTGACGCGCACATGTTCCCTGACTCCATTAGTGAAGGAGCCATAATAACAGAATCTTGATCTTCCAAACCCAGCCAGGGCAAGGATTCTCAAAGCTTTAGGCTTTGTACATTAAATTGTTTCTCATAAATGGAGATAAAGCAAGGTTTCAAATAAGCAGACATAAGAAAGAGCATACAAATAATGTTCAAAATGGGTTCCAAATTATACTGAGCGTCTACCTACACTGGTACTTTATTTTATCACCAATTAGAGGTCAAAGTTAACATGAATTCTGACCCAGTATTGTCAACATATTGTAGTAAATGTTAACATGAATTCTGACCCAGTATTGTCAACATATTGTAGTAAATGTTAACATGAATTCTGACCCAGTATTGTCAACATATTGTAGTAAATGTTAACATGAATTCTGACCCAGTATTGTCAACATATTGTAGTAAATGTTAACATGAATTCTGACCCAGTATTGTCAACATATTGTAGTAAATGTTAACATGAATTCTGACCCAGTATTGTCAGTAAAATGTTAACATGAATTCTGACCCAGTATTGTTAACATGAATTCTGACCCAGTATTGTCAACATATTGTAAAATGTTAACATGAATTCTGACCCAGTATTGTCAACATATTGTAGTAAATGTTAACATGAATTCTGACCCAGTATTGTCAACATATTGTAGTAAATGTTAACATGATTGTTCTATGTGGATGGTATGATCGAAGACTGAAAATAAGTTGTTTACAGAAAAAATAAACTTTGAAGCTTCAGTGAGTAATGAGGTGCTGTTGTCTAGATGAGCATGTGTGGCAAGGGAGGCCCCCAGCCCTCGTGGGGGGACTGGCTGCTCTCTGCCATGATAACCTACAACTATGCATAAGCCATTATTGAACAAGTTCTTAAACATTAAGACATTGAACAATCTACAACTATGATCAAATAATCAGGAAAATTATTCATCCTCGCCTTAACCTTCAAGTAAGAGGTTGGTTATGTTGTGGCAACTTCCTATTAATGGGTCACATTTCATAGTTTCACCATTGATACAAGTTAACAACAAATTAAGGCTTTTGTGCTTCTTTCCATGACTTATACTCACTATTGTTCTTGATACTTGAACGTGAGACTACAGCATATCAAGTGTAAAAATATTGAGCGACCATTAACGAATAAGTCCGAACTAAACTACTGGGTCAACAGTCTGATGGTCCAGGGTGGCGCCTAGTACACAGCGACACTGCTGTAAAGCTGAAAAGTGTAAGTAATGTGGGCAGATAATAAACCTTCATATGTGCCTAAGATAACACCAAAAAATTTTGAAATTGAACAATATGGTGCTGACAGGGTGATAAATTCCAGGACTCTTGTCTTGGGCATGAGTATGGACATGTATCACCTGTGTGGTGTGTGAGGAGCGTTCACTTTGCTGTCTGATGCAGCTGAGGTGACCCTCATGAGCACTGCTGATGCAAGTCTGCCATTACTTGCACCGACATTTACTGTGGTGGTGCAGCACTGTTGTGTACCTTTATCCCACTACTATGGCATTTTAGTAATTTTGGTAAGAAAGGTGTATTGCTGCCATGCTGCAACACACAAATGTCTTCATCTGGATAAGTTGGCTATTAATTGTTTGTTGGAATTATTTCATCAGTTTTAGCCCGTAAGAGGGATGTTACTGAGACAATGGCAAGACCTATGGCAGATCAACACCAGGTCACCACAACATGCTCGCAACACTTCTCACAGTAAGGCACACCCAGGACTTTACTACTCCCTGTATTGAAGGGTTTATTGCCAACTCTTTTGTGTTGGTCAACAACAGTAATGGTTTGGCTTTCTCCAGACAATTTACAACATGCATGAAATTCACATTCTTACCACGTCAAGCCCCTGGAAAACAACATGGACTTGTTAGTCGTGTTTCCTGAAAGTCATTATCAAGGGTTCCAAATTATTTTGAGTAAGTAAAGAAGACATTTATAGTGAGTTTATGCATCTAAAAATCAATTTCATGCTAATTCCGAATCCCTTAACTTAAACGTGTAAAAATTTTTAGGTGGACCGGGGAAATACATATCTCCTCACCACCTACGTATTTAAAGTAAATTCAGTTAGCATGTCACTAATTTTAAGACCAATTGTAACGTCATGAACACCTTCCTTATTCACACTTCAACACAAAAGGTTCTAAAATCAGTATTGTGTCAGTCTGAACCCCTGATATGACTCCTGAAGGTGCTGTGAATTGGCCATGACTAACACAGGACCAAAACACTATAGTTCTCTTTTGTCCTCACTACCAGGTCTTAGGTCATATATCTCAGGTGTCAGGCAGGCTTTATTACATACCATCTCACAAAATGATTTCTTTGCTACAACCACTACAGTGTATTTATTTGATAATCAGTTTTTGTAAAAAAAAAGAAGAAAGAATGCACATTACTCCTGAAATAATATCATACAAAAATCAAGTTGACTATAAAAGTACCTACACAAACTAAGAATATTTACTTCCATAGTATTACTATAAAAAATAAAGTCTATTAATTCCAAATGATTCCATGCAAAAATTGTCTCCACTATTTCCAAAGTTTAAGTTAACAATTGGATAGCCAAAAATTTATTATCAGCTATTTAGGTCTACTGGACACTGTACAAGTGTACATCCTACCTCTGGGTGGAGGAAGGGTGCTGGGGAAGGGCTAAGTTGGAGCAAAAAGTTCTTTCAGTCAGTCAGTCGATGTCACTCAGGAAAAGGGTTCATTGATTTGCTAAATACAGTTATGCACAGATTTAACAGATCACCTGAAGATTGCCTCCCCCAACTTGTTCTACTTGAAGATTAACCATTCTAATACAATACACGACAAACCTAACACTAACCAAACCTAACTGACCACCCTAATGCAAACCTAACCTAACCTAACCCTCCCCCCCCCCTTCTGATGGGGTTATTACTGATAATCTTTAGGTGAAATAAGCCTGGGGCAGGTGAATTTTCAGGAGATCCAATTTATCCTAATATTTGTTGGCAAAGTAAGTAAGTACAGGACAGGCATCCCCTGCCTTATAGAAACTCACGTTATGGAAATTCGCGCTTACGGAATTTGGTAATTACTGTATGACCAAAAATTCGGGATATGGCTAAAAAAACTTCACCCTTACGGAATTTGGGTAAAAAAAAAAAAAGCAAGCCAAGTTCAGCAGAAAAATATTTGACATTATTAGAGCTCAAGTCATAAGAAAGATAAGGGATGACTAAAATTTATATACAGTTAACCCTCACTTTACGCGGTCCCGCATTCCGCGTTTCCACGTTAACGCGGTGCCTTGCCAGAACCTCACGTGCTCAAATTACGCGGTACGTGAACCCCATTACGCGGAGTGTGTCCGGCGCGACGCTATTTTTAGATTCGCCCCACCCGCCTGCCTGTGCTCCTTGCCTCCTCCCTCCGCTTGGGCAAGCGGCGCGGTAAGGTTGCTCAGTGTGTGTCTTTGTTGCGTTATCACTGACGTCATATGACGTATCAGACCTGTGATTGGCCATGCATCCCTACCCCCCTCTGCTGCTAGCTGTAATTGGCTTAAAGTATTATGACGTGTCCACCCGGGGGAGGGAGGGAGGGAGGGAGGAAAGACGACGCTTGACCTAGCCGCGGCAGTTTCATCCCTCAAGGCCACTCCGTGTAAACGCGCATCCATTGTTCCGTAAAATGGCTTCCGCCAGACCACCACCCCCAGAGAGAAACCTTTCCTTATCTGGACCCAGCGGCACTAAGCCAAAGAAGACACGACGTTCCTTAAGCTACGAGGTGAAGTATACCATCATCCAAGAGTTGGAGAAAGGAACAAGGCAGGTTGATTTGGCGCGCCAGCATGGTGTGAACGAATCTACGATCCGGACTATAAAGAAGGATGCAGCCAAGATAAAGGAGCACATGAAGATCACAAAGTCTACAGGTGCTTCTATGATCAAGTATTTTCACAACCAGGTGCTTCTCAAGACAGAAAAATTACTTGTGAGGTACTTGGTGCGTCAGGCGCGACGGAACATGGCGGTCGACACGCGCTCTGTTAAGGACTACGCACGTGAACTGTACATGGCAGTGGCACGAAAGATGGGAATTACAGAGCCCAAACCCTTTAATGCTTCCTCTGGGTGGTTACAGAGGTTTAAGATCCGGAACAAGATCACCAATATAAACATTGGTGGTGAAGAAGCGAGTGCTGACCGTGCTGCGGCTCGGGAATTTCCTCCGTTTTTACGTGAGATTATGGAGGAAGGACAGTACAGTGACGACCAGGTGTTTAACATGGACGAATCTGGTCTTTTCTGGAAAAAGCTACCTTCCAAGTCCTTCGTTGTAAAGAATGCCAGCAGGATTCGGGGCCGGAAATGCAGAAGGAACGCATCACCGTCCTGTTTACCACCAATGCCTCCGGTACCTGTAAGCTCAAGTTATCGGTGATCCACACAGCACGCAAGCCGCACGCCTACAAAACCATGGACATGACCAAGCTAAATGTCCACTGGCTGACCGCACGTAAGGCGTGGATGTTCTCTACACTGTCCCTCTCCTGGTTTGATGACTGTTTTGTTCCCGATGTAAAAAAATTCTGTGAGCGACAGAATGTGCCATTCAATATTTTGTTGCTGCTGGACAACGCACCAGGACACTCGCCCCTACTGTTAGATCGTCACCCCAACGTAAAAGTGGTCTTCCTTCCTCCCAACACTACGTCATTAATCCAGCCCATGGACCAGGAGTTAATCTGCAATGTAAAAGCTGCATTCTCAACAAAAAAATTCCAGCTCCTGAACGATTACACCAACACCAGGGAAGAGTTGCGTAACCTGAGTGACACCACCACCGCTAGCAAGAGCGAAGAAGATGAGGATCAACAGTTGGAACAGCAAAAAAATACTGTTCAAACAATTCTGGAGAGTATTTAACATCAAGAAAGCTGTGGACTTCTTGGTGGAGTCATGGGATCAGCTGTCTATTGCTACAATTCGTCACGCATGGAGACATGTGTTGCATGGAATACCAGGTGAGAGGAGGAGTCAATCTGTGACTGGTGAGGTTCAGAATGTTGCAGTAGCAGTGGACCTTGCCAGAGAAGCTGCGCAGACTGTTACAGTTCCAGGCTTCTCCGAGACCACCAACGACGACATCCTGGAGATGATCAGAGATCCTGAAGTGACTGCCGACGAGATGTTGGAAGAAGAACACGTCAGTGAAGAGGAGGAAGAAGGTGCGTCATTCTCCGAAGAACACAGTTTAAGTCATCGTGATATTAAGGGTGCCATGGAGTGTGCAGAGAAAATGAAGTCCTTCCTTTCCCGCGACAATGACGATGACCGCTATGAAGTCTTCCATACCCGGCTGGTGCAGGCTATGGAGCCGTACATCAAGGTGTATCACGACAACATCAACGCCAGCCGTCAGCAAAGCATAACAGATTTCTTCGCCCGCAACCCACCACAGCCAGCCCAAGCCAGTGATAGTGGCAGTGAAGATGACTTTGAGGGATTTATCAGGGAAGCCCTGACAACTGTAAGTGACAGTGATGGTGATTCACCTAGTAATGGTGATTCACCTGAGGGCCAGTAATCTGCCCTCTGCCTCGGAACCATCCTCCATCCCCGTATGCCGACCCATCTCTTCTACTACCGTAAGTGTTCCACCTAATTTTTAGTTTTCTAACCTAACCTTTATTTTTCCTATGTTAACCTTTATTTTTCCTAACCTAACCTCTTCTATATTACTTGTTTTTTCATACCATCATAAAGTTAAGATAAAATTTTTACTACAACATAGTTATGTGTCGTCAAAAAGTGGAGTTTGGGGATCGGCCTGGACTCCATTTCAATTAATCCCATATGTTATGTTATTCACTTTACGCGTTTCTCGCTTTCCGCGGTACCCTCCGGGTTACATTAACCGCGTAAAGTGAGGGTTAACTGTATTATGAATGGAATGGTCAGGTATAGTATTACTAAAGTACAGGTAAATTAAAGTTACTTATTATTAAGGGTTTAATATCATGCGAGATTGGTTTTTATTAAAGGATGAAGATCTTGTAATACTTTGATGAGTAAATGTTTTACATGAAAAGAATACAGTAATTGTATATTAACAAATTATGCATAAATATACTAAAAATTAGAAATATATAGTACATTATAAAGTAAATATTATAACTAAGTGAACCAAAAAACCATCACCTCATAACTGTTTAATGATTATTTTATCAACAAAATCCTAATTAAGCAGTTGCAGTTTGCTCTTAGCTAATGGTAACAACAACCCTTGTAAGTGATAGTCAATGTAAGGCATAAATTATTTTTTCTTCTTATTTCTCATATTATTATTAACCAACTGTTACTGTAAAACATAAAAAAATGTACAGTATATGAATGATCTTAAGCATTACTACGGTACACTAAGTTAAATATCAAATGTTCAAAATTATAAAGATCTGCAGTACTCACCTCATCTTTGGCAACTGCTTGTATCTTTTCTAATATTTCTGCCTTTTCCTCATTGGTGTATAAATTAGTGTTTGAAGGCAAAAACAACACTTTCACAAAGTCAAATTGATACTCCAAATTGCTGGCAAGGTCAGGGTCATGACCAGGAGCATTATCCATGAGGAGAAGAGCCTTTAAAGGGAGTTTATTGGTGGTTAGGTAGCTCTTGACAGAGGGGCAAAACACATCAACAGCCCATTCATTAAAGAACTGTCTTGTCACCCATGCCTTACGGTTGGACTTCCAATAAACTCCAAGCATTGTTCTTACCACTTTCTGTTGCTTGAACACCCTGGGGTTTTCAGAGTGGTAGACAAGCATAGGCTTCAGTCGGAAATCCCCTGAAGCATTGGCACCAAGCAGTAGAGTGAGACGGTCTTTCATGGGTTTATGCCCAGGTAAAGAGGCTTCAGGATCTCAAATAAAGATTAACTTGTTCAACTCAACAAAAACAGACACCAAGAGGAGGGAAGGATGGCAGGAGACGAGTGTTGACACCAGGTATACTACGAGCCTAAAACCATTTCCCTCGTAATTCTTTTCCACTGCTGTGTGCTCTCGTCCTATTTCCCAAATCCAAAAAAAATTCCCAGAGAGATTAATAATACGAATTAATCCATACTGGTTAAATTTGACATGTTGCAGAAATAAGACAAATTCAGGAGTGTTGAAATATTGGTAGGAATTTCTCTAATTATAATTATAGTTTTTGTTCTCTAAACAAGAGCGTGGGCTAATATTGAGAAGTTTATGAAAAATGCAAAAGTATCTCAGCTACTGATGTATGCTCGTTTCGTGTCAGGCAACAGAGTAAAAGAGGAAATGCTGTTCTGTCACCCCATGGAAAGTTGTACAATAACAGCAGTTATTTTTCATGATGTATCAAACTTCTTTCGGGATGTCCTGAACGTGGCTATCAGGGTAGTCAACTTTATCAAAGCTGGAGCCTTAAACAGTCGTCTCTTCAAACTGCTGTGTAAGGATATGGAATCTGAACATGAAACCTTGTTTTTTCACACGAACGAACGATGGCTATCACAGGGGAACATGCTTGGACGGCTTTATGAACTGCGAGAAGAAGTAGCAATATTTCTTGATTCGAAGCAGAAGGCAGATCTCCATGACAAGTTCCAGTGTGAAGGCTTTCAGCTATCTCTAGCTTACCTGGTGGACATCTTCGAAGCGTTGAATGCTCTCAACCTTAAACTATAAGGGAAAAACATCAACATCATCATGCACCACGACACCATTCAAACCTTCATGGCCAAACTCGACCTCTGGAAGTGTCGAATTCAGCAGGGAAATACAGCCAGTTTTAGTAACTTGGATTCTGCTCTCATTCACGCTAACCTTTATTCTGAGTTAAATAAACAAATAATCACTCATCTAACTGACTTGAAAACAGAATTCATCAGATACTTCCCAGAGATAGATGAGAAGCGTGAAGCCTGGAAATTCATCAGGAACCCATTTCAATGTGAAGTAGCTGATGTTTCGGATGAAGTGCAAGAGGAGTTTCTTGAGTTGAAGTTCAACTCCACAGCTAAGGAAGACTTCAAAGAACTGGATCTTGAGACGTTCTGGGTCAAGTACCTTCCTGTTTACCCTCTGATCTCACATCAGGCTCTTCGGATTCTAACTATGCTCGGATCCACGTATGTTTGTGAAGCTGCATATTCCACGCTCGTTGCTGTCAAGACCAAGTACAGAAACAGGCTGAATGTTGAAGGGGATTTACGTTGTGCACTCTCTGGCATTCAACCACGCAGTCAAGATCTAGTAACTAAGAAGCAGTGTCAAGTATCTCACTAATTTATCCTCAATAAAAAGACTAAAAACACAATATTTTTAATTTTTCTTTAAAATCTGGGAAGGAATTTTATTCATAGATGCAAGGGGGGCGTGGAGGTAAGGACCAATTCCTAGAGAGGGCGTGGTAGTAAAAAGGTTAAGAGTCAGATTCTAGTGGTTTATACCGCCACCTTCACAATCATCATCCTGGCGACGTTTTCCTACGATTCTCGAATTCTGTTGAGTGTTGTTCTACAGTACACAGCACCAAGCAGCGTGAAATTACACTTTTGTAAAAAAAAAAAAAAAACACCAACCCAACACACCATCCACGACAAGTGCCCTACGTCCTCTCAGAGACGGTGAGGTCAAGGGTGAGTCCAGGGGGTGTAACACAGACCTCTGTGTCCTAAGAACACGAAACCGCTGGAACAGCCTTGAACTCACCGCCTCCGAGACAACAGAGGATACCAGTCGTGTCTGACCACCAGGTGGTGACATTGTAATAAAAATTGGACCTTGTATATATATTACATATTCCGTACACATGTTTATCAGCGGCCCTTGTGGAGGTATAACATTTCCTGAGTGTTTCTTGGATTATCTTACAGGTATTTTGCTCCACGTGTGTGTACTGGCAGTGGAGGAGTAAACCATTACAAGGTCTGGATTATATACGTGAGGCTGAACTTAGAGCGGAGGAGATGTTCCCGATACAACCAACCAACAGTCAGTAGTTCATGTGATAGAGAATAAATAATACAACACGTATTTACCACCCGTCTAGAGACAATTGGCTTCACGTTGCATGTTTCTCAAATGAGACTCAGAAAAATAATTTATTAATTTCATTAAAAATAATAGTATTTATTTAGTTAAGAGATACAGTAGGCAGAGTAAATGTTGACTGTCATAAAGGTGGAAACATATATATAAATTAACTCCAGTAGTAAGTGCTAGTTGGAGGATTAAGTGCCTCCTTCCTCCCTTAACTTGTTCCTCCTCCGCCCTCACCTGATTTGAGGAGCAGGATTCTCACAGGGTGGTACTGAATATTAGGTGTTCTTCCTAACACTATCACTTGGAGGATTACCTTAACCGATAGGTCAACAACTGCAAATATGTTGCCTGTATAACAAGTGAACTAACTTGGGTTGAGCACTGTGGCGTGTGTAGGTGTCCGCAAGGCAAGGCCTATACCCTTGTGGTCACGCTGGGCCATGTGGTGAGGGCTTGTGTAAACAACCCCCCCCCCCCCTCATAGTGTCCCAGGCTGGATAGTTCTTTTGAAACTAAATTGACTTTGATACTGTATCTAACCAGAAAAACAGAGATGCTATTAAGAACAAGTGTAGTGTAATAAAAGTGTTTATAAACTGAGAATACTCCTGCTACCTTGGTCCCTCTGACACCACACTCCCTCCGCGGGAGGCCCGCTCATGGCCTCCCCTCACACCGCTGATACGCTGTAGATGCCAGTTTCCCTTGTCCTGTAAGAGGGTTACGCCTCCCAACCGCCGCTGGCTTCCTTGGAGTGCCACGCAGTCCTCGGCCCTCTGACGTAGGCATATAGGTCGAGTCCTGTAACTCCTCCATGTCTGAGTTGACTGGAGACCCAGCCACTCGCTTTAACTCTCCTGATGCACTGAGTGAGCCAGGCGACTATGGTGTTGACCTTGACACCAACGGAGAGGATGGCTTTCAACTAGTTCAGTCCAGGAACAAGCGGAAGGCCGAAAAGGCAGAAAAACTTAGAGACCATCAACTACAACCTCAACCCCCCATGAGAGTAAGATTAAACTTCCCTGAAGGTACACCACCTGAAGACAAGTATCTCTGGCTGAACGATGCGGAAGACAAACACCCAGACGCTGAGTTTCAGTTCAGAGTCGGTACACAAGATCATGTTCTGATTAGAAGCGACCCAGCAGTCATACAGAATCTCCTCACCAATAGCATAAGGGGAATAACCATGGAACAATCATCCCAACCATCGAGCAAGAAAACCATCTTAATTATAGGGCTCGACCAGTACCAGACCCCTACACTAGTAGAAGCTCATCCCTACATCAGAAGGACGAAGCGACTCAGGGGCAAGAACGAGGTTATTGTAGACTGGGGTGGCTCGGAAGACCCACCCAAGACCATTCGAGTCCGTGGTGCCTATCGGACTCTGAAGGTAACTCTATCAGCCCCCTACCCGTAGGTGTTGCAATTGTCAACACCGGGGCCATGTGGCCCGGTTATGCCCCTCGACTAAGCCGTGGTGTGGTCTCTGCTCAACACAACATGCAACACAGGCTTGCAGAGATACAGTTGCTCAAGGGGGTGTCGTTCAACACAAGTGTATTAACTGCAAAACATATGGAGTTCCTGTATGGCACCATGACTGTCCTAGAGCTCCTACGCCCCTTCAGCGCCCAGACCCGCCACCCAGGCAGGTCTCAAGAAACAGTAATGCTGCTAGGGTACTCCCTACGGCCAACCCCTGGCCCACCCACCCACCAAAGCTCCAGGATCATCACCAGCAGTCATCGAAAGATCAGTATGGGACAACACAGACGTACCGATACAACAGGTAGCTGCCAACACACCCCGTGAAGAGATCAATGATTTGAAAAATGAAATTAAAGAACTCAAAGCTCCATTTACAGCTCAAACTGATATGTTAAAGAGCCTCTGTGATACACTACAGAAAAAGAACACCACCAACACAGTGCAGCAGCTATGGAAAGATTACAGTCAAACTGAAGACATTCAGATGTCAGTACCAGATGTGGAAACTCAAGACCCACCAGGAACTATTGTCTACGCAGAGGAAAATAGTGATACTGGTAACAGTTCTATTGATGCCCCTGTGGACATGGTCAGTGAAGATGAACAAACACAAAGAGAAAATGGTGGTGATGTCGTGTGTAACCAAAGTGTTTTGTTGTCTGCCACTGACTTACAACAATTGTTGAGCCGCACATGCTCCAGAAATGTTTCAAAAAGGTTAAATGGCCTACTGCCTGCCGAAGGGACAGGCAGCATAGAAAAGCACAGTATCATACAGTGCCTTTTGCTTCTTTCCAAATACATTTCATAATGGCCAGTGTTAATACCAGACAGATACAGAGCGGTGAAGGTGATGAGTTGGAACATCTCATCCCTTAGAAAACGATACCCTGACCTACACCACAAAGTTGTGACTGAGGACATCGATATTGTGTGTCTGCAGGAGTGCCTCACACCTAATGGTAAGCCCCCACCCAGTCTGCCCAATTATGTGTATTATGATCCTAGTTCTACTCACACATGTTTGATGTATGTTAAGAAGTCACTCCCGCATGTACCTCTTCTATCCAAAAAGACTACCAACCTTCA